AATTCTGGGAGTTGAAGTCCACACGTCTTAAAGTTGCCAAGGTTGAGAAACACTGCTCTAGGGTGAGAGCTGATTCACAGGCTCATGCTGGCAGGGGATTGTGGGAACTGTAGTCCCAGGGCATCTGGAGGGCACCAGACTGGGGAAAGCTATACTATTACAATGCAAACATCACGGAGAAAGGCAAGATGGACCCTTCCACCCCTGTAAAGCCTAGAAAATTGTCTGGCCTAGCCACCACCATACAGGATCCCACCACCTTCTCTTAAGCTTGACTCCCAAGGACTGAATCAGAGGTACCGCCCCCCCCCTCCCCGCAGCCTACTAATCCAGCTGAAAAAGTGGATTTCCCCTTGTGTTCCCAGGGCCGGATTCAGCAAAGCTCACAGCCAGCTCAGCTTGAGTTGCTGCAGGGTACAAATGTGTGCCTCCACCCAGCTGATTTTAGAAAGCTAGACAGGGTTGGACTAAATTAGCCTTGGGATGGGGGACTATTGGGACACCCCAGACTGTTGACTAAAGGCGAGTTATAAAAAAAAAAAAAACTGCCAGAAAGGAACGGCGAGCTACTTTCCTATTGTTGCCATGAAAGCTACTTGAGACACGTCCATGAGATCATCAGGAGTTGAACTGGCCTGGAAAGAGATGTGAGTCTTCAACGACAGGGAAGTCATTTCAACCGCCTCCATTCCCGGGCCTTTCTCCAGAACAAACTGTTTACTAGCATGAAATCGACAGAGGAACAGCTGTTTCCTAAAACCTCCTGGCAATCCGAAGCCCAGCATTGCACACAACTGATCAATGATATGGAGCTTGTTATTGGCAGAAGTGGAAGGATTTGGGGTGGAAAAGGAATACTTTGAGGGGAAGTAGAGAGTGGCGGTGTGGCCATGAGAGTTCTTTCAGAGCATCTTAAGTTACGTTTCTAATGGTGTTTTAATGATATAGGTAGTCCCTGACTTACGATCATTCAACAACTGTTTGAAGTTACAATGGTGCTGAGAAAAGTGACTTACAACCAATCCTCACACTTATGACCATCACAGCGTCCCTGCAATCACAGTACCTGGCATGTATTTACAATGGGTGCAGAGTCCTGGGGTCCGGTGATTGCCATTTGCGACCCTCCCAAGGGCTTCCAACAAGCAAAGTCAATGGGGAAAGCCGGATTTGCTTAACAACCATGTGATTTGCATAACAACCACAGCAAAAAAGGTTGTAAAATCAGACATGACTCACTTAACAACCACATCACTTAGGGATGGAAGTTCTGGTCCCAGTTGTGGTTGTAAGTCGAGGACTACCTGTATACAGTATTTGCTATTTTGTAAGTTTTGTAAGTTTTTTCTCCTTTTCTCTTTTGACCTAGATGGATGCGCCTCCATCCCAGGCTGTCTAACGTCTTCTGCTTGATTCCACATGTAGGTGGATGGGTGGGTTGGTGGAGATCCATCTGGAGAAGAATGTTTTAATCAGGCCCAGGACTTTTCATTTCCAAATATTTAGTCAGCAGAGGATTATCCTTTGGTTGAAGGGAGGGTAAAATGGAAAGAACAGAAGGCAAAAAAGCAGAGAGAAAAATATTTATTCTGCGAGTTAAACCTTCCAGAGCTTCTAATGACCAGCTTGCAATTTGTTTGGGGCAGAGGGCCAGGATGTTGGGGCGGGGAGAATGATCTACAGGTGCTTAGATGGGGAAAAAGGTCCGGTCACTTGTTTCTGGGAAGGGAAAAGGGTAAATTCAGCCCTGGCTTATGAAGGAGAAACTGCCCAAGTAAGAAGAAGATGTGATGGGTCCTTCTGCTGCTTTTACAATTATATTTTCAGATGTACCTTTTTACGCCCTTAAGGACTGGAAAGGTAACCTCTCAGAAGTCAGAGGAATGCTGGTGGAAGCCTTCTTGGAGGAGCGCTGAAGGCACGAAAAAGGGATCAACTGCCCATCCTGATCACTGGCACGGCAGGAGGAGAGCCATGCTAGTCTAGGGTAGCCAGAAATCAGGAGGAATCTGGTAACGCCTTTTCCAGCAAAAGCTTCTGGCTTGTAATAAAATTTGTTAGCTGGAAAAGGCACTACCAGACTCCTGATTTTTGACTGGTGGGTGCTTGTCGTGAGACAGAGCAGAACTCGTCTGCTTTTTCCTCCATTCTGGTGATGAGAAATAATTTTAAAAGGCACTAGGAAGAACCATGAGTGGTTAGGACTCCAAGTGGCTGCAATAACCACTGTAAAAACTCTTCATCCCAAAGCATCTTCTGCCTCCAGCAAACCATTTTTTTTTTTAAGCAGGGAAAGTCATTCTAGTTCCAAAAAACCTGCAACCCCTGTTCAGTTGGAAAAAGACGTTGGGCAAAAGAAAAAAGCAAAAAAGAGCCGCAGAAATTCCCTTGGGAGCAGTTAAGCTTCCTTAGAAGCCAGAACAGAGCCACCGTGGCACAGTTAATCCACTGGTTTTTGCCGTTTCGCTATTTGAGTTTACGTTGTGGCATTGCAGAGGTTCCCACTTCTGCAAACTGCCGAGAGTCAGAAGATCGCAGTGGTTTAAAAATCTAAGGAAGAAGCTCAAGTTAGATATATTGGTTTATATTTATTTTCATTTCTTCCTTTATTTATTCAAGACCTTTTCAGATTCTCAGGAACTTGGCACAGTTAATCCACTGGTTTTTGCCGTTTCGCTATTTGAGTTTACGATGTGGCATTGCAGAGGTTCCCACTTCTGCAAACTGCCGAGAGTCAGAAGATGCAGTGGTTTAAAAATCTAAGGAAGAAGCTCAAGTTAGATATATTGGTTTATATTTATTTTCAGTGCTTCCTTTATTTATTCAAGACCTTTTCAGATTCTCAGGAACTCTTCGTTGTGGCCAGCAGCATCCTGCATGCTCTGCGCTACCCAAAAGGTAAGTCAACCTTTGACCAGCCTCACTAGCCAGGCACTGCATGCGGGCACGGGAGGGTGTGGCATCTGAAACAATACAAGGCAAACCCCACACTGCACCCCAGCATTGCCCACTTGTCTTTCTCCCAGCCTCTTCCCCTCCTCCCTCTCATTTTCCCCCTTGGGAGGCAGAATCGGTCTCCCCTTTCTTGCACCAGAAGTGTTAACCTTCTCCTGGGAGAAAGAGGTACCCAAAGCATTTCTCAGCCATTCATCAGCCTTCCCAAGAAGATGATGCTTCTCCTCCCATTGATTCCTGGACCCTTGGAGATGGCGGAGGGGGTCCTTCCCAGACACCTCCCCAGGCCCTCCCCACTTGTCCCCTTCCCCCTGCCAAGGAGCCCCTGCCGGAGTTCCACAGTCCGGGCAGCGGCCTTCTCAGCAGACCGACTGGGCTTGGCACGGGAGGCTGTCCTGAGTTCCAAGCGTGGTCGTCCCTTTCGGTGGCCTAAACCAGCAGGGCCAGCTGATCTGGCAGCAGAAGAAGCTGCGGACGCTGCGGAAGACGGCGTGGCGGAAGATGATGAAGAGCCAGGGGTCCACAATGGGGTTGAGCGCGCTCAGGCGGAAGGCAATCATGTCGTCCGCCTCCCTGTGGTCCGGATCGATGCCCCCAATATAGGCTCGGATCTAGAAGGGGGGGAAGCAAAGGGTCAGCATCTCCCAGTCCCAAATCCACAAGAAACATGGAATCTTTCCACTTTCCTTGCAAATAATTTCATTTTATTTGCTTGTTAGGCTGAGCAAGTCCCCCAAGGAGCGTTGGCGGCTGAGAGTAGATTAGAGTTTGGTCCAACACCTCCATGACTACCCCACACGGCTCGGTTTTGCCTTCCTTTGATGGGTTGTCTTCAATTCTGTTGGGACCGTGGCTTCCACAAAGCACTGGTACTCCACCATACCAAGGCAAGCAAATGATCTAATAGCTTTCCACATCCTCTTTTGAAGCATTTATTGTCTTCCTCTATAGTCTGCTTATTTACTCCCAGAGCACTCAAAATAGCTCTAAGATTTGAAAAACTACCCACCCAAATCACAGAACAACAACATTCTGAGCAATCGAAGTCAGAGGCTCTTGCTTCCATGGATTAAGCTGCTGATTCAATGAAAAATAAGTGGGGTGGATTCTGCCCTCTGTGCCGCAAAACCTCTCGAACTGCTACCTGGAATTTGGGGGTCCCAAACTGTAAGGCTGCTTCTGAAAATCACCCTGGTTTATTTGATTGTTCATTCATGTTTTCATTTCATCTTTGCAGCAATCCTATGCGGTGAGTCAGACTGACCCAAGGCCACCCAATTCCAGCTTCTTGGCTGAACAGGGTTTTGAACATGACTCCCCAGTTTGAGATTAATGTTAAAACACTACAGATGCAGCTCCTAGTTATTTACAATGCACCCGAGGATCTCCAGCCACAAGAGGCTCTCCGGCTGCTTAAGATTGCAGCCCTGGATTCATTGGGTTCTCTCCTACTTTTGTCCTAGCTGCTCTCCCCCTCCCCCAAATTAATAGCAGGCTTTAGGTTTCTCTTAAGAAAGTGGAGAGCAATTTTGACCTACCGGTAACTCTGGTTGCTGCAAAAGTCCTGAGAAAGTGGAATGGGAACTGAAACAGAGAAGACCCTTCTTTTCTCAACAGGCAATTAGGACCTGAGGAAAGACTTCCTCATTTGCAGGAAACTTTTGTAAGAGCAATTACAGGTCTCCTGCTGTACTTACACTTGTGACCCAGGAAGATGGATTCCTGTTCATCACAAGCCCAGCTGTTATCTCTGGCTGCAGATCCACTGGCAAGAACTGGCTTGTACTCTGACCCAGAAGTCAAAGGTTGCAAGTTCAAACCGGGTGTCAGGATCCATGGATATTTTCAGAAACCCTGCATCGTTTTGCAGCTTCCCTAACCTGGACACCATCCATATGTTTGGACTTCAAGAATTCCCCAACTGGGTTGGCCATTGCTGAGAAATCTGGGAACGGAAGCCCAGGCATCTGGAAGGCGGTGAGTTAGGGAAATCTGGTCTGTTCCCTACGACCCTGTTCTGGATTACCATGTTCCCTCAGCATCTCAAGAATGTGCTTTGGTTAAAATGCAGTTGATCCAGGGGATGAACAGAAATGAAAAGCAACAAGACCACATCAATTCCTTGAAAGCGTGGCAGAGGGTTTTCAATTGTCCCATCAGGAAGCAATCTGACTGCACCAGATGTTGTATAAGGAAGGCTCCCAGCTTCAATTCCTCCCATCCAGTGTTTCTCAACCTTAACAACTGGCTGGGGAATTCTGGGAATTGAAGACCACACAGCTTAAAGCAGCCAAGGTTGAGATACGCTGCTCCCATCATTGGACAGGGCTGAAAAGGTGATGGGAGGACACCCCTACACCAGGCCCTTCCCCTGGCCTGATTGTTAAGAATACCAGAAATGATCTGCCATCATTCTGTTGCAAAGAAGCTTAAGGTAACTGGAAGGTAATTACAACTAATATCATAATTAGTCAGCAGAAGTGAAGCTCAGGGTTCCCAGCTGCAGCAGAGCAGGAATGCCCTGAAAACGGGCTCCAAAGATGTCCTCTAAGTTGGACACTGATCAAGAAGGGAAGGAGGACAAACAGGATTTCCAACTAGGATCCCCTTCCAACCAAAAGGATTTGGTTGACTTCTGGCCATAAAAAAGCCATAATTTGCAGCAACAACCGTCCCTCTTTGAGAATTTTTTTTTAATGCATGATGGAAAAGGTGGAAGATGAGTGAAAAAATGTAAGACATTGTAAATGGAAGGTAAAGTTACTGGATCCCTCCCAGACTTTCATTCCCTTTAAGACAAAGCACAATGAAAATTTGGTCTGGGCACAGGATGTAAAAAATAAGAGAGGCTTTGTAATAGACATGGAAAATTACAAGAAAGATGGGTTTTTAAGCACAGCTCGTCAAACTTGTATTTATAAATGTTGATCTGTATTTTTAGCTTGTGTCTGTCAGAATAAAAAACTTCCTTTTAAAAATTGAATGGCTGCCCTAAGAAAACCACGGAATATTTATTTTTGGAAGATTTATCTCTACCCAAGAAACTTCAGTGAGTTTTACTTTGCCTCTCAGTTTGAGGAACTTTGATCAGGTAAAGAGACCCAGAACCCAAGAAAGAAAGAAAAAAATTAAAGGATTTACACAGTGCCCTGACAAATTCTCGGTTCAGGGGGAGAAAATTTGTGATATTTACGTTGATTCCCAACTGACCTACATTTATTAAGAGATCCACATGCTTGCTTACAATAATAAGGAATCATATATCCCTCTGAATTCTGGTGATTCTGAATCAATCCAAATGTGTTTCACATTAAAATCTCTGTTGGATTAAAGGCTGCTCCTCCGGAATGCTAGCTTATAAAACCCTTTCTTTTATATCAATTTTTTAAAAAGTTTTAAAGAGAAGGAAAAACTAACAAAAACTAATATAAAGTAAAGAAAGGGAAAGAAAGGAAAAGAAAGAAAAAAAGACAAAGGTGCAGGAAAAAAAGATAAGAAATAGAAAGAAGCCGCTTTTGATGGTCTTTGCAGCAAATACAAGTATGTTTACAAATTTGTTTCTTACTCTATGGTTACGAGAAGCTCCCTCTTTTCTATTATCTGGTTTTTTTCTAATTGTCAACACCACAAACCATAAGTGCATTTTTTTCTGTTTCATGCAAAAAGTCAGTTTATGAAACACTTTCAAAAGCATTTGCAGTTCTTGGAGAAAAGAAAAGCAGGCTTGGTTGTTTGGCAAAAGCTGCAGCTGAATTTTTATCGATGCCTTTTTGTAAGCACTATTTAGCGAGCCCCTCGCTTTCAAAAAACGGGTTTGTTTTTTTAACCTACCCAAATTCTCCGTTCAATTAAATAGCAATCAGACTTGGGGTGGGAAAAAGTCTCTCCAGTCAGTTGTGTTAGATTCCCCCATTTGAAAATGGATCGTGGAACCCGTTCCTCACTTTGTAAACGGAACCGCATCTTTGGAAATCTCCTTGGAAGGAACTCAGCATACTTTCTTGGTTCTGGGAAGATCTTTTCTCCAGTTCGAGTTGCAGCTGAGCCTTACAAGGGAGAAAATCTCTGGGGGAACCGCTTGAAAAATGACTGAAGATTGCTTTCCCACTTAGATTTCCAGAGCAAGACAACGGTTGTGCTGGCTAATAGAGGATGGGAATTGTGCATCACTTTTGGACAGCCCTTGACTTCCAAGGCACTTCTCTCCTACTTCGTGCTGCTTCCCCCAAGGAATATAAGGAGATATTCTGGGAAGAGAGAGGCTGCCGTTTTGAGAAAGTCTGACAAGATGAGGCTGAGCTGAATCAGAAGCAGTCAAGGGTGGAGACCCCTCCATGAACATTAGCAGGGAGTGGTCTTTCTTGAAGAGGTCCTAAGTCTAGGTCAGTTTTTCTCACCCTGGGCAGCTGGAAGCCCCCCCATCTTCAGGCGGCCAGGG